ATACAAATATTCACCAGTCTTTGCAGCAATTCCAGGAAAACACACACAGTTCCTCCTCTCTCTATGCAATCGTTGTTTGCTGCTTTTCAACAGACAGATGGTAGAAAGTTTTGCACTTGACATTCATAGCTGTCTTTCCCACAGGCATGTGATGACGTGCTCGTTGCATCACCCCTCGTCTCTGAACGTTTGGAAAAAGAAGCTGCCTCACAAATGAGATCCTGGGAAAGGCGAGAGCAGGAACTGGTATTTCCACTCTTGCTCCTGGTTACACACTGAGGAAGTGATGTGATGTGTTTGAAACACATGTTAACACTGTCACTGGATAAATACATTTGTCCAGAACCATTGTACTGTGGCTGTCTTAAAAGCCACCTGAAAGAGAAACAAACACAGATTGTTAGTGAGAGGAATTCCTCACAACATGAGGGGGCACTTCTAGGCAAACTGTCCATTAGCTCTGTCATGTTAGATTAAAGGAAGCATTAAATTATCTCATATTTTTACATATTTTAAAGCCATTTGAAATTACAAATTTATAAATGTGTGCATTTGTTTTCTTTGCAGCCAAATAAGCTTTACTTTTTCAAGCAAGGGAAAACAGGACAAGCACTGTATTAAAATCAAGTACAATTTTTGCTCTGTGAAGGCAGAGAACCTAAACTCTCGGTGCAGGGAAGAAGCTGCTGTGTTGCTGTGGGATTCCACAGGGGCACATCTGTGGATAAAGAGCAGCAAAGCAGCCTGGGCAGTGCTGGGTTTATGCCACTCAAGTGACAGTGGTAAATGAGAGAACAAGGGTGGCTATAAAAAGACCTTGCAGTGACTGCATAAAGCACCTCTTGGCATTATTAATGAATGCAGAAGGGAGATGGGCCAAGCAGCTCTTGACCAAAATAAATTCTGTTACAGTCTAATGTTGGAGAGGAGGAAGGAGCTCAGTGAGCTCAGGAACAATTCATTAATAATGCTTCAGTCCAACACTTTGCTTCACCCCAGACGAGGCATCTCTTTCCCCCCTTTCATATATGGGAAGAGAAACAGATGACCCAAAATGCAAATGCTTCCAATTTTTTCTTTAAATTATTTCAAATCCACACAGTCAGGGGGACTGTTCAAGATAATTGTGATTCACTGCTAATACACAGATCTTTTTTGGATCAAGCTATGCTGGTAGTTTGCAAGCATGTTAGCAGGGTCATGAAATATTGCAATAGCCCAGAAAGCTCATAGTTTTAGAAAAAAAATAAATTAGAAAGAGTAGAAACAAAGTTTCCTCCACCTTCAGGTATAAAATACACATGCAAACTATTCTGAAAATTTACAGATGGGTATAGCAGAGGGGTTACCACATGATCAAAGGCATCTCTAAAAACTGCTGAAATGCTGTGAAAATTCAGGGCTATAAACACCTGGGATGCTGAAAAGCCTGATTAGGGCACTCAGTACGTATTTCTCACTGGGCTGGGAAATGTTGCTGCTCTTCCAAACCCAAGTATTGAAGGACAACAGAGGTATCCCAAACTTGGCAGGGCTCAAAGGCACTTCTGGAGCCTGGTGTAAGGGCTGAGGCAGCAGCAGAGACACAGGACTACCAGAAAGATGGCAAGAGCAATATACAGGATGAATCATTAAATAAAAATCTTCTTCTCTGCTGCTGGAGATGGACATAAAGGACTATTAGCCAGTAAAATGAAAAAAAAATCATTGCCCAAGAGCGTATGGTGAGCTGATGGAGGAGGAAGATGCTCATGGGGGATCCTGGGATCCTGCACAAAGGAAAGGCTGCCCGTGCTCAGTCCAGCTGGATCCAAAGGTGAGGAGGCTCCTGGCAGATTGCTTCCTCACCAGAAAAATCATAATGGCAGTGATTAAATGAATTGATTTCCAGCCTTGGATACCACTGCTGAATCACAGACCACCTGAGCCATCCTCGCCTTTGCCATTTCCCTGGACATTTCCCAAAGCCCATTCCCTTGTCAAGCCCTCAGGAATGTATTGTTTTGGAGCAGAAATGAGCAGCTGTAGAGAAAAAGCATTTTCCACTCTGCAGGCATAACATTTCAATGGTGTTAGAATGAATTTCTCCCCTTCATCTGATTAAAGGCAGAGCATTTTTTCCTTTGTTCATTACAAAGACCTGTGTCTAAATCTGAAGAAATAAATGAAAGCTCAAGTTGTGTGTGTCATTTCCCAGCAGAGCTGATGAATTGTGTGCTTGCTTTGAGCTGGCTGTGTCTCATGAACCATGATGCTCATTTCACATCTCAGCTACTGCAAAAATGCTAAAGAGAGGGGATTTTTTTTTTTTATTATTCCTAAAATTATGCTTTTATATACATGGTAAAAACAATAAATCTAATAATTTGAAAAAAGTGATGGCTTCAAGTCAACATCACCAACACAATTTCATTTAAATTTTGTTTAGTACTCCAAGCAGAGATCTTAATTTAAGCATCTCCCGACTTTCATGATCAGCCTCATCCTGCAGCTGATGTAGTTTTGCAACAGGATTTGGCTTTAATTCTTCAAATAATAGGAAACAAAAAGAAATTCTACTAAAAATACACCTGAACCAAAGCATTTTTGTGTTTTAGGTATTTCTATCAGGTTAGCTGTGCTACGTCCTCTTCCAGGAATTTTATGTCAACAAAATACTGCAGCAAAAATCAGTAAGGGGGTCGTAAGTAGGGCAAAAATCCAGAAAGATTCCTTTGGGAAAAGGTGTATTTAATGCAGCTGTAATACCAATCAAGATTTATGAGGGCACGTTACTCTAAGTACATTGTTCATCTTATGCACTCATCTGTCAGGACATAAATATGCTGAAATGTGATTTAACCACCCAATCAGTTGTTTGAATGACTGCAGGAAAAAAACCCAGAAGTTGGCTTAATGTTTGAAGCTCCATCTAAAATGCTGCAACACCCTACAAAATATTCAAAAATAATTGGGGCTCCCATATCTCCCCTCTGCACAGGGTGTAGCTGATGAATAAAACATTGCACAACTAATATGTGTAGTCAAAATAAATGGAGGGTAAAATGCTACTACACCTGTTTTAAAGAAACTTTGAATGAAAATCAACCATTAAGGCCAACTGGAAAAAACAAAGTTAAATAGAATTCATTGTTTGGTAAGTCAACAAAAACCTGAAGAGAGAGAGGGATAAAACATAGGAAGTTTTTTGGTTGGTTTTCCTGCCATTTTAATCTTGCATTTCTTTATTGCAACCAAAATAATAGAGAAAATACCTGGAAAGGAACCTCCTCTGAAAAAGCTGCTATTTAGAAGAGCTTGGAGTTGTTTCTGGCATGAGAACTCACCTCTGCAGTCAGTGTGTTTACTGCTGCACGCACACAGACACCGAAAATGCACGAACACAGAGTTTAGGAGAACCTCTCAAACATCAGACTTCTGACTTCTTACCCTGATCAGGGTAAGATACTGAAGGCAATAAAACCTCTTAAATGAAGGCATGTTTCACTAGATATGTGCACACAGGCTTCATCAGAGACTTAAAGATACTATAATGAAAAATATCAACAACTGTGAGCTGTTAACCTGTTACATGTTTAACCTACACTGAATTTTTTTAAGTTACTTGGCTTACAGCACTTGGTGCAAATCCACCACACAAAGCAGACTCCTGTGCTGAGGGTCCTTTGGCTCTTTATTTTATTTCAGTATCACAGGATGGTTTGGGTTGGAAGGGATCTTAATGATCATCTCATTTTAACCCCCTGCCACAGGCAGGGACATGTGCCAGATCATAAATGCTTTCCACCTAAAAGCAGCAGAATTTAGACATATTATTTAGGTCCTACTTTTAAAATGGTTCAGGAAATAAACCCCATATAACAGCACTTACAGACTCTCTGAGCTAAATTAGAGACATAAGACTCTTTGCCTCCTCAAAATGTAACGTACCAAAATTCTTAAAAAGATAATTTCTGAAACACAAATAGAAATGCTGGTAAAGGAGAGCACTGCAGATTCTTCTACTTCCACTGCAGAATGGAAGAGGCATTGGTCCCCTTCTAAGGGGTCACACAGCTCAGAGGGGTGGCACAGTGAGGTAGATAGGAGATAAATGGGGACTTACCTATCCAAGATGCACCTCCTGAAATTACAGCTTTTCAGAAATAGGTCACAGTTGACTATTTCCACAAAATAATTCAAGAGTCCCCTAAAATTCACAGAAAAAACAAGCAAACACAGTGTTTAGTTTAAACTGATAGCTGAGCATTAGCTTTTTCACAGACACACTGGAAACGCAGGAAATGCAGGAAAATAAGACCAGTGGAGCATCTCCCAGGTTGTTCCCTCCAGTCACTGTGGGAGGGTCACGTCAAATCCTGGGATGGCCACGTGTGGCAAACACATCCCAGTGACCCTTCCGTGCTGTGAGCTGGGATACAGGACAGACAGATGGGGCAGGCAGGGAGGGGTGGTACTTACTCAGTCCCAGCACTGTGAGGGTCCCCTGCCAGCGGGCACAGAGGAGAAGGCACTCCAGAACTCCCGCCAAGGGGTTACCCATGGGATCCAAGGAATGTCCCCCTGGGAAGGACAAACTGACACCTGTCCAAGGGCAGCCAGTCCCCTGGCCAGGAGCTCCTGAGGCCCCGTGACAGCCAGAGGATTAATGGGCTCAGCTGAAGCTCACGTGTCACGAGGTTCAAAGCCTCATTCTCGTTGTCCAACCTCTGGGTGTTGTGGTCAATGTGTGTGTTTTGCTCTTTACTGTCCCTTGGAACTAAATATATTTCCAGCACCACCAAACAGATCAAAGCCTATCGAGAAGGGGTCAGCCTCCATGGGACTGAGCACCATTTCCACCACCTGGTCTTTAATTTAGGATGAAGACTGAACTCTTGGAGGAGTGAGCAGCAGAAATCCCATCGCCTCAGCAGGGCCAGGATACCATTGGAAGGAATTCCCTTCAGTTCAAATCTGAGGAGTTGGAACTTCTTGGATTACATGAAATGAGAAACGAGGAGTTTTAAATGATTTATTTGATTTCTCCACATGATCACAGTTATAGTTTTACATCAATAGGGTCTGTTACTACTTACAAACAGAATGCATATTAAAATGAAAGCACTCCTTTCTTCCCCAGAGTTACAAAAGGGGTCTCAAGCCTCCCCAGAACAGAAGCTTCTTGTAAGCATAATGTTTTTGAAGTCTTTAACAGTCTGCATTCAAGACCTAATTCTAACAGTTTAGTACAACTCAAAGCTGATTTAAGTTCCTAGCAGGAGATAGGCAACCTCAAAGTGACTGCAGACTTAGAGTAATGCTAATTTACACACTATGTACAATTTAGAGAATTCTCTATTCCCCCTACTGGTCCCATTTTCAGCACACCCCCTTCTCTCTTTTCCAAACTGAATCTTGTTATTGGTTCCACTTTTCTTTTAAATATATACACAAGAATCCATTTTGCAGGCAAGAAGTGCGATGGTATTTTACAAGGGAACAGCAAAATGCATGCTTAACTGCAGAAAACACACAGCTTCATGTGGAACAGCAAGTCAACATCTAGAGATTCAGTGTTTAAATATCTGCTGACTGTCTCTCAGCTCGTTTTATCAAGAAACAAGAGGCTTCTGCTGCATGCAGTACATGATGGGAAATCATTCTACACTGTATGTTAGACTCTTTTTTTTTTCAGCAATACAAGACGCACATTATATTAGGATGAGCTTTGTTTTTTTTTTTGTTTTTACATTGTTTTACATTTCATTCTTAACTTAAAAAAATAAAACCCCCAAATATATATTTGATTGTTGTCCCAGAAAAGATTTTTTGCTGCCACACCTTCATTCTTAACGTTTCCCTTGCATTGTTTCAAATCAGCATTACTACTTTGCCACATTTTTTTGGGAAGAGGCAGCCACGGTCACTCAATGCAGTTCTGTACCAGTTTTTAATTGGCATCTGAGAAAAAAACCCTCTCAATTCTACTCCTGCCTGCAGGCTGAAAAATTGATTTTCTTAACCCCACGCAGTGTTTAAGTACTATAATTTTCCTGTGCTAGGCATGACCCACACTGCTCTAATCGAGGATGGATCAGAGAGGTTTCACTGCAACCCTAAACAAGCAGCAAAGTTCTTAAGACTTATGCTGACACCAAGACACTTTGTTCGGTAGAGTACACATAAACATAGAAGTCTAAAAAAACAAACCAGAACAAAACTGGAAACACATAAGTCAAGCCCACTGTTTGTCCTCCTTGGCTCAAGAACAGGGGGTACAAATGCAGAGCTCCCGTGGGACCAGCTCTGGTTTTTACTGCTGATTGCACCCGTGAGGCTGAACACAGCCCAGGGCAGGCACAGACTCCTTCCCCACGTGCACACGAAACCACAGGGGAATGTTCCTCTGCATGTGACATCTCCAGAATATTCTGATTCTCTGATTCACAAACACGTTGATTGCACATGGAAAATCAGTGGTCGAGCGGTAAAATGGGGCTCACTGTTTAAGTACAGAATGTTTCTACGTAACTCTAATTTATATGAATGAAAGGGGTCTTTAAACATAAAGCAAACGCAGATCTGGGTGATTTAACATCTGCAGTGTTAATCAACACAGCTGGAGTCAGATTTTCCTCTCCACTGCTACTGCATATTCTGCCTTTATTCCACACACAGACTATCTTACTCACATTACGCCTCTGCATCTGAAACACGTCCAGACTCCATCACTCAGTGAAGAGGAGCATTCTTACCTCTGTTTTAATTAAAAGATGCAGTTTTCTGAAAGATGTTTGTACCTGAATGGTTCTTTTATCTTTTCTGGAACAACCTATAAATTACAGTTAGACTCTACTATTGGTACAGATGTATGAAGAAAAGTCTACATATTGAAATATGTTATCACTTTACTTCAACTAATATCAACAGTAACACTGATATATTTTGCAAATACACAATATGTAGAGTGTAGCCTCACACTAATAACATTAGATGACATGCAGACAGTTCTACTTTCCCTTATAAGAACAGTATATATTTTTTTTAAACTGCAAGGAACAGAGCCTCGGGGGGACCCAGAAGCCGCAGAATTTAGAACAGAACGAGTGATACAGAAAAAGAATAACTTGGTTTGCTTTTCATGAAGACAATTCCGAGGAGAAGGAGCGGAAGGGGAAAACAATATTGCACGTGTGCGAAACAAACGTGGACAGCTCGAAACAAAAGGCTCAACTCTAGATTGCTGTATTTGCTCTCTGTGGAGTTAACAAAGTGCTCAGTTTGCAGTTCTGCTGGTATTGTGGTATCAATGGTATGAAAGAGAAAAAAAAAAAGACTGAACCTCTCCCCCCTCCCCCCATGCCAGAGATGCCATGAGCAAGCCAACATGGAAAGTCACTTTGTTGTTCTCATGTCCTCATCACTGCTGACAATCCTGTTACTGTTCAATAGGACTGGTTGTTATTACGATTATTTTACCCATCTCTTACTGGAACTTTTTTGCTCATCCTCTTCAAGGTTTGCTTTTAGGCTGGTACAGTTTTGCAGTTGTGATTCTCTGTCTCTACTGTTTTAGGTGTAAAGTCCTTGCAGTGGCTCAAAGTGCTGAAACTACAAAGTAGGCGCCATGTATAACTTTGTACAGGACCTCGGGATAAAAACTGTATATAAATTTGCAAATGGTTCAGTTACAACACATAAGCAACAACAGCACAGCCTATTTTTATGTGATGTCTCGCAACTAACTGGACTATGGAAGTGAGGGTTTGAGCGTAAACTCAGCCTGCTGAGTGCTGGGTGCTTCAAACTAACAAAATGTGATGAGTAAAAATGGGAAAGCCACTTTGTTGCTAGCACATGGCTACATGGAATTACAGATTTTTATTTTTATTTTTTATTTTTAATATATATATATATAAAAACCCTATACTAAATTCTAAAACAAACCTTCAAGTTTTTAGAGCATTTCCACCAGGAAACGCTCTTGACTAGAATTCAGCTTCACTGGGGGGTAAAAATGAGAAATTATGGTAAACAGGAAACAAAGTAGCTGAGGAGGATGGAAGTTGGCCGTTTTCATGTCTGAGATGAATGTTTTTGCAGTGTGTACATGCACCTGTCGTAACTCTTCCCGGGTGTTCCTTAAATCCATCCGCATACAAAAGAAATGTGGATCATGTAAATTCACAGTTATCACAGCCTTTAAAGTGTCTAAGAACTTGTGTGACCAATGCTTGAGGGTGACCACTGGGGAGCGGCCCCCCTACATTGCTACGGAATAATTACTGCATCTTAACGAGCTTGCTTACCTGAAATAGCAGAGCAGTTTTAATACTGATTACGTATGATATCATCGTGTTAATAAAATAAGGATTTATACAAAGCAGTATTGACTACGACAGTTAAATGCTATGTTACTTGGCACATTTAGTAATGATTGCTTAGAAATCCCAGCGAGTCCAGAGGACTCGCAATGAAAATACTGAAATGTCTGAAATTTGTTTCTAACGTTTAATGTTTTGGTCTACTCTTTCATATGCTATTCATCTACTATACTGTCCTATCAAGTAAGTGGAATTCCTTGTAAAGTCTATATTGCTAGTTTTGTGGACTGAAAAAATTCCTTTCCAAGCACAAATGTTAACTATACAGTGTATATATATATATATATTTATATGTATATATTTATATTATATAAAGTTTACTTACGTACTTTCATCAACCATATCAGGTCTACTTATTTTTTTTGCCCATTGAGAATAAAAGAGCAAGAATGCAACACTTGGTTCTGTCTCACTTTTTTTTTTCCTTTTTTTTTTTTCCTAGACTAACGTTTCGTTACGCGTGTAAAATCGTCAAGGGATTTGGTGTAAAAGGTAGCTTCAGTCAGATTCAGCAAGCAGCATGTTTTTCAAGGCAGTTTGGAAATAAGAACTAACCAGATGGTGGACATCTATCCAGTAGATAAGTAAAGCCAGTAACTGGCGTTATTTTATTTAGTAACAGCAAGCCTGGCAGCTCACCCGGCTCAATCCAAGTGTCTAGGTAAAAACTGACAATGTTATCTGTCGCTCCTGTGAGTGCCTCTGTAGCTCAGTTTAAAACTCTAGTTAGTGGAGGGTCTCTGTCCTAGACTATTGTGCTGATGCCGCTGTGTTTGGGCTTGGTGCTGGCGGAGGTGGAGGGAGGCGGTGGCGGCCCGTGGTGGTGCTGTGGGTGCTGTGGGTGCTGTGGGTGGGCAGCGTGGCCGGGGTGTGGCGGCGGGTGGGGCGGGTGGCTGTGCTGGGCGTGGGGGTGCTGCAGGTACGGGGGGTGCTGCCCGTGGGCGTGGGGCACGTGCTGGTGGTACTGGTGCGGGTGCGGGAGGTGCTGGGGAGGGTGGTAGTGGTGGTGGTGGTGGTAGGGCGGCGGGTTCTGCTGCAGGTGGCAGTACTGGGAGTGGTGGGAGTGCACCGGGGGCTGCCCCTCGGGGCCCGCGGGGTGCGGGGCGTGGTGCTGGTGCGGGACTGCTGCGGGGTGCGCAGGTTGCTGTGATGAGCCGGATGGTGGATGGCCTTGGGAAGGTGGCTTCCCCCTTTTACTACCAAATAAGGACCCTAGGAGTGAGGAGGAGTTGGGCATAGTCTGGTGAGGGCGAGATGGACACTCTCGGGTTGATGTAGCTCTTCGGCGCATGTGAGGACTGCTAATGATGGACCCCTAAAAAGAAATTAATAGAAATAAAAATTAAAAAAATCTTAAAATGTTTAAAAGAAAAAAGTTCACACTGACCCAACAAACTCCTTCTTCAGTGTTCACATGGGTGACTATGTTAAAGAGTTCTAGGGAAAACCTTACTTCCGCCTTCTCTAAATTGCCAATGAGGCACTCGTGCCTTTCTGGGGGTATTTTAAGTATTGAATGTTTTTTCCCTCAGTACTTTTGCTATTGAAGGATATGACTTTAAATTAAAAAAAAAAATGTCATGGAAGAATAACATGACATAAGACCTAAAGGTGTCTTTTTAAAGGAAAAATACATTTTAAAATACTGTAAAAAATTATCATACTTGCTTTTTTAACAAGAAAAAATAAAGCTGACTCAACCTAAACAGTTAAATATACAGCAGCAAATATTACAGTTACAGCTCAGATGTCAAAACAGTATTTAAAACTTTTTTGATAGTAGTTTTCCACTACTGTATGTCACAGTGCTGCTTCTCAGGCCTACCCTTGCATTATATGTTAAATTGAACCATTTTTGCCAGTAAGATTTCTATGTGATTGTGTTATTCTGACCTGTGGTCCAACATTCTCTATTATTATTTAGCCTGGAATTTAGTTTCTGGAAGCTTGGGGTTTGTATTTTTAAAGAGTTATGGGACACAACAGTACTTAGGCAAAGTGTGCTAGATTTAAACTGCAATCTACCTAAAGCAAACACACAAAAAAAAAAACCAAAACAAAAACAAAAAAGAGAAACAAAAACAAAAACAAAAGAAACAAGAAAAAATCTGCAAGCTGAATTCAGAGACATGAACAGTATATATAAATGGTTTGAAGATGAATGAAATCTCATGAAATCCACATTGAATTATCCTATCTTAATAATTTTTTTCCTCCCATGCCCTGTCTGTGCAATTCCATGGTGTCATGACTGCATACATTTAGCAATTGAACTCGAAAATAAGCAATGGGAATGGTTGAGCATGACAGTCAATAGTGGTAGCTAAATACCAAACAGCAAGAACAGTGTACTTGGTAACAAAGAGCAAGTGGGCTTTTAAGCTGGGACCAGACTGAAATGGTGGCAAAAGGACACATCATATCCATTTAACCATGCTTGCAGGAACAAAGGGAACAAGGTTAGCTCAAACCAAAAATGCCATTGGTCTAAAACAAGCTGTCAGTGCTTTTTTTAAGCTGGAAGAATACGGAGTGAGTAGCCTAGGCATGCATTTTATTCGTGGCAGGCAGGTTATGTGTTAGAAGAAAAAAAGAGCAAAAAAATATGTATATATATATATATATATAAAAGAAAGGTTTGAAAATGCACATCATCACATCCAGCTAGACATCAGGAACTTCCTACTTACTTCCATATTGCTGTCTAGCGATCCTGCACTGCTGCGGCGCCCACGCTTGCCTGCCCAGGACATGCAACACCAGAGATTAGAGACCGACACGGCACCCGGGGGAGAAGAGCTGCTCGCCCTGCGTCCTGCCAGGGACACCCCACGGCACACCCTCCTGCCCTCGCTCGCTCTGCTGGGGGTCAGCTAACACCAGCTGGGGGGGGGGGGAAAGATTATTTTTTCTTTTTTTAGTTTGTACAATCTTAAAATATGTGGGTTTAATGTCAGTGTTGAGCGCTGGGGTTGGGGTGGTGACTGGCAATGATGGTGATTTGTTTGATTGCCTGGAGTCCAATTGGCTGTGAGGTTTCTTTCTTTAAGCACGTCGATATACACTTGTGAGGTGATATCAATTTAAGTGCAAAATGTAATACTGACACAGTCTGAACTTCCCCCAGAGGGTGGTTGGCACTGAACAGGCTCCCCAGGGCAGTGGGCACAGCCCCAAGGCTGCCAGAGCTCCAGGAGGGTTTGGATGATGCTCTGGGGCACAGGGAGGGGACTCTGGGGCTGGGCCTGTGCAGGGCTGAGGGTTGGACTGGATGGTCCTTGTGGGTCCTTCCAGCTCAGCACGTTCTGTGTCTGTGATTCAGTGGGGGGGACTGGTGAGGGGCATTGGTTTCATCGTTTCAATTTCAGCTCTGAACCTCAGTGGATTTCATATAATCTTCTTTCATGAGGTTTTAAAAAAAAACTAAACTTAATTTTTGATCAATAAATCCGGAATCTGTCTTGACATTATGGCTAGGTTTTGTTTGTTTAGCTGTGCAGTGCTTTAGCTTTAAGTATGTCGGATTTGTTCTCCAACAGTCTCAAACTGCAAGGACATTTGCCTGAAACCACACGTGAAACACCAGACTACAGAGCCAAAAGACCTCAGTGGCTATAAATAGGACACAGGATCCCAGATTTTATTTCTCATTTCACAGGAGAGCAAACAGCATATGGCTGCAGTGGAAACTGGGATTTTTTTTAGGAGCCAGGTTGCTGAGCACTGCTTTGTGCAGTTTCAGAACACTGAACTGGCAGGGTGCATAAACAAAAGCTAACCTTTGAAGAGTGATCTGGTGCTCAAAGCTTCCCTAAAATCTCCATGTTTTTAGAAACCAAAGTCTTCTCAGTGCTCTCTCCTTGCTTCCTACAAGGCCAGATATCGAAGACAATCTCTACTCTGCATTGGTAAATTGCCTTCAGAATCTTCTACTCTAAGAGGTGGTTTTGGGGTAGAATGTGAATATTTCAGCATCACTGAACCAATGAGTGGCATTCCCTCATCAGAGACACCTTAAAGCCACTTGGGATCAGAACTAGGGAACTGGGACAAAACAGTGATTCCTGGGAGGTTCACCCTTCTTTGACAAACCTTTCCACAGGCCAATTTAGACTTGCAGTGTGATCAGAAAATACCAGTTGTTGAGTTAAACGCATAACTTTGAGCTGGTTGGTCCCAGGATGCTGCCCTGAAACACAAGCTTCTCTTAAGAGCTCTACAGTTCTCTTTAGGCTACTGGAACATTTCCCCCTCTCTCATTATCATAGAGTTGCTCCCCAGGACAAACCCCTCTCCAGTGACATTAAATCGAGGGGAAGGTGTTTGTGGTCAAGGTGTTTCGTTCAATTTGCTGGAATTTGGAACAACTCCCCTAGACAGGATCTTTGTCAAAAGCTCATCCTTCCATCTGCTGCAGTTTTAGCCTCAGCCAAACCATAACTGAACCCCCCAAGAAAAACTGGTTTTGATAATCCCTTCTTTTTACTTCTAGTCAGGCTTTTGATATTTTTCTGCTCTGATAATGGGATTAGTACTGATTAACACTCAAATCACTCTTGCTTGCCGATGCAAACACACTGAGACAGTCACCTCTTAGCAGTCAGCATTGCAAATAAGACTGAGAGCTGACACGGGTCATTCAATGTGGCCAAAAACGAAGGAACACAGGAAAATCTGATGCCTTTTGCGTGTGGCAGGAGTCACATCTACCAAAATAACCACGGACACAGCATATATGGACAGAGACAGATGGATTTGTGCTTAGAATAACTCCAGGGCAAAGCCAAGAACACACAGAAAAATCCTCCTTAAAGCCTGAAACTCCCCTCAGATGGGCACTATTGCTGAGCAGAGCCTTTGTTTGTGTTCTTAAAACCAATCTGAGCCCAATTCTCTACTGACATACAGTGTGACAGGAGAGCTATGAACCAAATCCCCCTGCCAAGGTGTGTTTATTCCAGACTCTTCCCTGGTCTTTGGGATGACATCCCACCTCGAAAATGTTCCCCCAGAACTTCAGCCGTCACATCCATTTCAAGAAAATGGTGACTCTTCATTAGAATTGCATCTAAGCATTTACTGGCAGAATAATCAGCAGCTGTGGTATAAAGCAGGGTGGTATTTATTAAATTTGAATACTGGTTTTGTTTAATATTCAAATACTTAAAAATTTTAAGGCTGCTACTTAAGAATGGTTTATAATTCGTTTTTATAAAATTAAATTTCAATTAATTTAACCTTTTCTGATTCATCTCAGTAATTCATTGATGTTAGATATGGATATTCTTTTTAAGAAACATCTTTAGCTTATGCAAATATAATATGTTCCATATATGCACAGGCATTATCATTATCATTACAGAAAATGGAAATATTTCTCACTGCTACCCTGTATTTCTTGAAACTCTCTTCTGTGCCAGTGAGATACAGCAGCTAAAAAATACACTATCATCTAGCTTTGTATGTCTCGAGAAAAAAAGTGTGGGAAAAAGCTTTAAATTAAAATATGCTCCAGTCATTAATTTAGAGAGACCACTTTCCAGAGGGAAAAGACTCTTTGTAAGCTTCTTATTTTCATCTTGTTTTCTTTTCTGTGTGAAACGGGGTCTCTTCCAGAAGAGAGAAAAGTTGGTGATACCAAGGTGTTCAGGGACAGTGTGGGATGCCTGCAAAATGGTTTGGTATTATCATAAACGTGTCACCAAAGATTTAATTCATACAAATCTGCTTTATTTGAAGCACCCCGTGAATTCCATCATACCCCTTCACTGTTGTTATTCCTTGGAAAACCAGGAAATGTTACAACAGCAACAAGGGAAGGGACAGGAAAAATCTCTCCCTACTTGGAAAGCTCTTCTAGTAAGGGAATCAAAGATTCCTGGAATCCTCTGCAGCAAAATCCAAGGGAGAGGAAGGGAAAAATGAACCCTGCCTGCATGGGATGAGGAAGGAGCCAGGGACTGCACCATCCCAGCACAGACTGATCCAAGAGATTAAAGGATTCTGTAATTACATCAACTCAGAGTCTCTTTAAGGGGATTACAATGCTGAGAAGTCCCACAGTCTTTTCCATTACATTTTGGAATACAGGAAATTTTAAAAAAATGCATTATAAAACTTTTGAAAAAAACAGGAATTTTTTTGGAAGGTAGAAACAAACATTTTAAAAGCTAAAGGTTGACTGAGTTTATAGGCAATATGCAAACAGTTAACTCTGGAACTGCTTCATGGTTTTGCTTTGGTTTCTGAGTAGTCTTTAATGCTCTGTGATTGTTTTGAGACAAGCCTGGCTTATATTAACAGGAGCCATTATCCCATCCTGCACGTGTGCAGATTGCAGCATCACAGGGCTATGCCACTTGTGTAGCACTGGGGCAAACCAAAACACTGGAATTTTTAAACCAGTGCAGCGTGTAAATATTATTTCCACTTAGAGGTGAGGGAAGGGGGGCACAGGGTTTGCTTTCCACAGGTGCTCCCCACTGTGAACTCAAGGTGAAAGCACTGGGGCCTCCAGCAACTCAAAGTGGCTGGAACTGGGACTGACTTGCCTAAAATCAGTTCAGTCGCCATGATTTGGTGACCAAATCATTCTTCTTGTGGTCTAATGGCATCTGTCTGTAAACCTCTCACCATGGAATCCTATAGGGAGTGAGAGGTGAAATGGCCAGAACACTATCAGAACTGACAAACTCCAGCTTTAGCTGCATTAATATTTGTCTGTCTTCTCATTTTTTTCCTGTAAATTAAGAATTTCAAAGTCTGGGACAAATAAATTCAGTTCCTCCCTGACGACAGCTCAAGGATGTGCAATAAAAATGATGTATTTCTCTTTTGAGAAAAATAAGGCACTAAATACTTTTGGACACAGTCACATCTTGGATCAGTTAGTTGCCACATTCTGCTCTTTATTCCACAGAGAGATCTGACAATCCCCAGTGAACAACATTATCTTTCCAACTGAGACCCTCCCATGCATCCTTTGCACAGTTCTGAGTTCAGAAGAACAACCCTCAGGAAACGACTCCTGACAGAGAGATCTTGCCTTTCTGTCTGACTGCCAGCTTAGGAGTCAGAATCCTTCAGGAGATCAGTGTTTGTTGGATCTAAGCAGCTTAGGAATCACCAATCTTTTCCAAGGGAGATGTTTCAGGTGACTTTCCACAGCCAGTGGTTACTGCTGGGATGTCTGGGGGACTGTTTCCTAAACAGTTCAGTCACAACCCCATGCAGCCAAAATGCTGGTCACTCACATTTCCCCTTCATTGAATAAAGAGTTAAACATTTGGTTTTTGCAATCCTCACTGGGCAATTATCTGCCTTACTGCATAAATATGCAACCAGGCCGTTTTGTTGTGTTTGTTTGATTTATTTCTGATTAAATGGAGAAAGGACCTCTCCAGAAATCCACTTGTGTTGTGTCTTTTCCAACAGGCAGACACAATTCCACACACATCCCCACTGTTCTTGTCCCTCCTCCTTGCTGATCCTGTGTTTCATCCAGAAAAAGCAGAACTGAGGCCCCTAACTCAGTGCTGTTTTAGAGGAGCAATTTAATATCGTCTCATCGCTGGGGTGCAGCAGCTTCCTAACTGAGATATCTCTGGTTTATTACGGATTGACTCTCTCATATTAAAAGATAAAATTAGCCTCACATGCAAGCTATTCCCTGAGAGAAGGCAGAAAGGACATGTCTCATGTCCCTGAAGTTACTCCACCGACTACCAAAGCAATAACAGGCGTGTCATTTCTCAGGACAGTTGCACTGCACAAGACCAAACAGAAACTCTCCATAATTCTCAGCTGTTGCAAGTTAAAATTAAGTTTAGTTGGGTTTAACAAACTCATTGATAAACCCTGCAGTCTGTGAGTGATTTCCACTTTTTGTTATGGAAAAAAGTTATTTTCAGGAAGGAGCATGCCAGTCGCAGGCATGCCCTGTGGAAACGTGGAATGTGTTCATGATTACAAATGCTTGGATAAATGTTGAATAAAACCCATAACATGAATTTAAATACATGGCAATGTTTGAAAGAGAGGGATGAGTAATTCTGATGGAATGAAAAAATTAATCAGAAATCACATTTAGGGGCACAGATACCCACTGAACTCCCATACTGACAATATGGTAGTTCTCATTTTAATGAAATAAAACCGAAACAACAAAAAGGATGATGAAGTATCCTCAGATCTGAGATTTAAGAGTGGTGAAGACCAGGGACTTGATCTAAAATCCACTGGAGCCAATCAAGCACCAACATTCAACTTCAGGCTGATTTTGGATCAAGGTCCTATGTCTTTTTTAATGAAGCAAATGGGCGTATGAGTATGAAAGCCTAAACAGAGAAGAAAAGAATTGAAAGAGCTTACTCTCTACATATCTGTATGCACACACATATACCCACAAAACACAGGCTATCATTTCAGTTTACAACAATTTTATTTATTGCAGCAGAGCTAAAATCTCTTCTTTAGTTAAAAAAAAAAAAAAAGGAAAAGGTAAGTGGTGTCTACTACCAAAGATACACAGAATATTGAAATTATGACTACACTGAACATCATCACTACAGCTAGAAGGACAAAGCAGAGTATGTAACACAGACTATGAACTAAAACCAGATAATTGAAAAAAAAAATATTTAGTTGCTACTACCCCGTGAAATACTTTCTGAACAGTGGACATGGTGTTCTATCAGATAGGAGTTCTTGTAAGGGACAAGAATCATGTTTAAAACTGAAAGATTCCCTGCGTATGCCAGGTGTGAGGCAAACCATCCAAAAAAATCATGCTAAACTTCCCCTAGCTTTCTTTGCCTAAAATAAAAATCCCACCATCCCTGCTTTGCAGCCTTTAGCTGCATTAATCAGTTAGTAAAACTGACCACACAGCAGTGGCTTTGGGGGACATCAGAATTCTTGTCCACTGGGGCTTCCTGTGTTAAGAGAACTTCACAGCAACCCCTCTTGCAAGAATTGGGAGCTGTATCTGGGTTACAAACCAACAGAAGAGCATCAGGGCCACGCTGTGTTTGAGTTACAGAGCCCTGGGCAGAATTTAGGAAGGCTTCACTCCATTTCATTCATCAAGGTGGCAGCACAGAATGTTTGAGCACAGAATGCACAGAAAGCGGTCCCTGCACACAGACCAGTTTCTCTCCTTTTCTCTCTAAGCCTACTTGTATGAAGGGGAAGAAGCAAAGGGGGTGAAAAAAAGAAAGGAAAACTGAGTTACTCCTAGCACAAGTAACTATTTTTTTTTTTTTTTAATTAAAAACTTAAAATTTTTCCTGTCTTCACTCTCCTTTAAAAGCACCTATGGCAACCTCCAAGGGTTTAAATGCTTTCGAACCCTTACCAGAACGAGGGCGACAAACAAAGAGAAATTAAACAGGAGCTGGGAAAGAGGAGCTATTTGAGATGGTGGAGATCTCAGCATTACTATTTGTGGAGGCTTTCACTGAGGCATCTTTGCATGCAGAGAGCGAGGGAGGAAAGGCAGCGCTTACCTGCTTCGGACAGGTCTCTGAGCGAGCTGCTCAGCGCGCTCCGCTTCAGCCCCTCCCCGGTGGCGTAGCTGTCATCCAGGCAGGCCCTGCTCAGGGTCCCGTTCCCAGAGTCCTTCTTCAGGCTGGAGCACTGGGACATGCTGGGCCGCACCACCCCCTTCTGCTTCTCCAGCTCGGCTGAAACGGAGACGGAGATTTTGCAATTCGCGTTTATCGATGAAACGCGGGATCGGAGAAGCGCTCACGGAATGTCCTGAGCTGGGAGGGGCCCTCAAGGATCATCAGTCCAACCCCTGGCCTTGCACAGACATCCCAACAATCCCACACTGGCCCTGAGAGTGCCATCCAAACCCTCCTGGAGCTCTGGCAGCCTTGGGGCTGTGCCCACTGCCCTGGGGAGCCTGTTCAGTGCCAACCACCCTCTGGGGGAATTATCACTTCTGCCCACAAAGGCAACCAGTACACTAAATCCACTGTCATATTTTAAACCAACATATTATGCAGGATTTTTCAAATATCTCCTGCTATTCCTGATTTATCTTTCATTTTTGTATTCGCACCTTCCTGTTCCTTCAAATCTTGCCAGACTCTTAGCAAAACTAAAAATAAGCACAACAGAGACAAAATGTTGAAAAATAAGAAAACTTCATCATTTGAGCTTAAAATGGAAACTGGAAAGAGTCCTCAAGATCTCAATTCCAGTAAGGAGCAAACCTCAAGGTTTTCCATGAGTACAGACTTACCATAGAACATCCCAATTTCTGTGTGTGATCAGGTATTATTGTGAATAATGGACAGGAGTTTCACTCCTGTACTAATAGCTTTATGTTGTGACACACGGAGCCTCTTTTGAAAAAACAGGAGGCAAAATTTTGTATTTAGACACTCATGGAACTTTCAGCAAAATATATCAACTTGTTCCATGGTTACCCCATTGAGAAAACACAGAAATAACAACATGAAAATTAAGAAAAATCCTGTGAAACTTATCTGAAGGGCCATCACTGACAATTTCAGTGTAATGTAAATTATATCCCAAATTCTTGCTGTAACTTATACCACAATTCACAAATCCACCTGTACCCTGTCCATTGGTATTTACAGTTTGTCCAGGCTAAAATCCCACTCCAGCTACACTGCAGTAAATAGGAGTCAATGAACTCAGCTGGGCCTCAACATATCATTGGGTTTTTCCTCTTTCTAGAGTCAAACTCATGGAAAAAATCCTATTAGTTGGAACTTTTAAGGTGTTCTCATGGGTTATACACATATTTGGAATTGTCTTCCTCGGATTAGCTCGAAAATGCTCTATTATATGTACCTTTGTACTTACACTCTATTCTGTGCTTTTCCATTTCTTGAACTTCTGCAATGGACTCCCTCAAATCATCTGTAAACTTCTTCCTGTCCTGAGGATTTGGTGCATTGAAGTTGATGAGCACTTTGATATCAGCTCCTGGCACAGCTGACGTGAGCCGGATACCATTGGGATAATCTGGAAGGGAAAGGCAGGGAAAACTGAGCTCTGATTATTCCAATTACTTTTCTTTTAATAAACACAAAAACCAAAACCACCAAAACTCAAGGCTTTTTACTAATATTACCATAGAGGGTACAAAGTCAGAGAAATAAAAAGTTTGAAGGCACAGAATCAGAATGAAGATACATTGGATCAGCTTAACTGTCGAGATGCTGAATAAATACTGGAAGATAGTCTTTATGCAGCTGTTACCCTTGAAGTACAATCTACAATATAAAAGAAACATACCAGAAAAAGCAAAAAAAAAAACAAGGGGATAATTTTTGTTTCATGGAACAGAGCCCATTACCTATCTTACCAAATTGTGGCCAAAGTTTTGCTGAGTAAAAACTACTCGGAGACATCTCAAGTACATCAAACTTGTTCTACTTGTAACATTTGCAGTGTGTTTGTCAATACTTCCTGTTGAGTTGTGTTCCCTGACAATCCTACTTTTCTTTTCTTTTTTTTTTTTTTTAAACAAAGTTAAAACTCTCTGTGAGATTACATACTGAAAAAGTAAAAGGGGTGGTTTGTTGGGTTTTTTTCCACCCCTCTTTTGACCCGTACTATGGGCATCTTCAAAACAAAAGGCAGATTTTTCAGCAGACTGTCTTCGCCTCTTTTTCCAGCTGCACATCTGAGACCGCAAATTTTAACAGCTGGTCAAAAATATCTCCTGGTTGAGACAGAAGGTTCATGTACAGAAAGATATTTATGAAGAAGATAAGTTCTGCTCTAGAAAGCAGAACCAGCCTTTGCTTGAAACACAGACCTGTAGAAACAGGGTGTCAGAAAACCTCCTCAAAATGTGAATTTTAACTCCCAGTGTTCTCTTTTCCTCAGCTGCTTTACCTTCTTGGTCTACTACAGCTCTCAAATATTTACTTAAGTATTGAAGCCGAAGCTTAAGGGCTCCCAGGCACTCAAACCCATTCCCTCAAGAGCCAGCAAGGCAGTTGCCCTCCCCTCAAAGCCATCAGGTTTCAACAAGACTCCAGCTACTGGGAAACAAGTACAAATGCTGCTCTTTTTCAGAAGGATACTTCCCAATTTTTATTCCAGATTTACTTTTAGAAGAATAACTCCCAAATCAGAGCTGCAGCTAAAGCTGAAGCGAGTCCATTCACCATTCTAAGGGGAAAATCGTGCAAGTCCCGCAAGGCTGGAAGGGTCCAGAGGGAAGGAGGGGGTTGGGGTTCTGTGGGGTCTGCTGTCAGCAGAAGGGAATAGTGACATTGGGATATGCAGCAAAGAGCTCTACAAAGTGCACCACTTCAGGGGAAAACCCAAAAATGCTTTTAAAACCAAACAAGGAAACCTGGCAACCCCGAAGTCACACGGGCTGCCTCCACATACAAACCAAGAAGGACCCTCCCCATCCTAAAGAAACATATATTTTATTAGCACAGATACTTCTCTCCACTGTACTGATGAAGCCTCAGGAGACACTCCCTTCAATATTTACTGGTTTCACACACTCTCTCTGCAGTGACCTGCTCCCCCTTTATATTTTACTCCTGACTGCCTGAAAATGTAAAAGATACTTTGCTCCTGGCCTGTTTATGTACTACAGATACATGAACATTATTCTCCCTTTTGGAGCTTATCAGCCCTCAGCATAACTGACTTCTATCATTAAAAGTCAACTCTTCTATCACCAAAGCCCATCACGCTGTTCAACCTCACCAGCAGTCAAACCAAGATTTTTGTTATTTCTGCTCAAGCAACACTGATTTTGTTCACTTGCAAGCAGCTGGTTCTGAGAGCTGCTACACAGAGATTGACTGGCTGATGGCCATGAGAGCCCAAAGTGTGCTGGGGACAGGGGAAACCAAGAATATGAATTTTACAAACCAAAGGAGAAAAATACTTCTCTTTCCCCACTGGAAGGGGAAACTTTCCCCACCTGACAGGCACTGCCACTGGAAGTACAATCTGTTCACTGATTCACTGAAGCCCAGCTGTGCCTGTTAAAGTGTCTCAATTAAAATGCCTCCAGTTCCCTGGGAGAAATCCAACCCTTTGCTTCTTGTTTCACTATGTATGTTTTTAAGTTTATTTGAATAGTGGTTTTACTTAGTAACGCTTATGAGATATATATTTTTTAATATTTTATTTTAATTGATACCAGAGGAAATATATATTCTTCTATTTTCAGTAGAATCCAGGATAGGTATATTTGCTCTTCCTCCCCAAACTGAATTTTATATTATAAAATGTGTGCACAAGAATGAATGTGTGAGCATACTCTGCTCTGTTCTTAGTGCTGATGCTGCCTTTGGATTAAAAGTAGGGCTTTAGCAAACTATTTGGGGTTTTTTGTGGGGTTTTTGTTGCTAAGACTAAGTCTGAGAAGCATGAAACATAAAAGGAAGATTGGATTGATGCAGATTGCAACAGGCATAAACAAAAGGTGTCACAAAATACAAGCTTGAATCCAAACTCTCTGCTTTGTATTTACATTTGAGTGAGTATATATTACCTGGGCATAGTTAAGACATAAATCAGGAAAATAAATTAAACAATGTTTTGAATTACACACATCATTATAGGAGTAATTATTTAATTCTCATTCAGTGGCACTGCCTCAGCAACAGACGTGTTTGTTTCTTGACAAACATTTTATTCCTTACCAGCATTCACAAGCAACACATTTGGGAAGATTTGGCTTCTGACTACAACCAAAAACCAGCAGTCTTAGCTGCTTCATATGCTGAGAGCATCTTATTTTAAACTTCAGGGCTAAGTTAAATTCAAAGCAATTTTATTCTGAAATCCAGAGCCAAGTCCTGTCCACCTCTTTTGCTCAAACATTATTTTATTTTATTTTTGTTTTAGTTTTAAGCAAAATGCTCATTTAAAAAAGAGAGGAAATACTTACACTGGTTCTCAAAGAGAAGGACTTGCATTCCATAGAGGGAAAAGGACTGTCGAAAACTGTATGTAACAGAGTTCTTCTTCTTCTGAAAAATCTTGGTCACCTGAAAGTTATCAAATAAACAAAATGAAATCCCCCTTTTACCATGTGTGCTTGTGGAAAATTATTGCTCTTATGAATCAGAATAAGAGAAAACACTTTATTCAAAAGGAAGCTATAATCTGCCAGAGAATATGTTAATTGTAATTTTTTTGTTTTCTTTAAATGCTGTATTTAATCTACTGCTACTGAAGAAACAAAGCTAACTCTGCAGCACCATATCTCCTAAGCAGAAAGGTTAATATTTTATCCAGAAACAAAGCCTGTGTGTCCTCCATTCTCCAGAAATCCCACTCCCTGAAATTCCAAAAGGACAAAACCCTCCGCATCTTTACTGTGCACTGCACATGCTCTTTCTCTTTATAGAGAGGTTTATTTTCACTAGTTCTTTCCAATTTTAACTTTTAGTGATGGCATTTTACTGGAACTGTTAGATTTGGTCTGTATTACTCCCCAAACAGTTTGATAAAACTATTGACATCTGAGTAAGTAATAAAAAAATGACAGAAAACTTGCAGCCCAAAGACAGCAACGTCCCACCAGTTCCCACTCATGCTCACATTTACAACCAGGAGGATGTACTCATAACCAAAAGGATTCATTTCTGTATTTACTTGCTGCATTTAAGGCCTGAAGGTTTGTAAAAACGACACACAGTAAAACTGTGAGTGTGAAGGCTGTCTTTTTCTTAACAAAGTATGAAATACTTAGTTCTCAGTTCTCAGGTACATTCCAAGGAAAGTAAAACAAATTTTCCTATTTTTAAGAGTAAACCAACCAAATAACTCCAAGCTGTCATTAGTTTTTTTGTCTGTTTGTCAAAAGAGCAGGTCAAGTTAATGTCTGTGAGGATAAGTGCACACTAAAAAGTAAACTCAGCTGTAAAATCTATTTCAGCTTATCCTGTTCCTATTTCAGTGCACACACAGATCTGTTGGGAGAACATCTGGGGAATACAAAGTAGTGTGTAATTTTGTTTTTCCACAAATACTTTGAATTCATAATTCACAGAATAAAGGCTGTCTCTGTTTACCCATTAGGGAAATGGGTAACCCGGAGGTGATTTTTTTTTTTTCTCTACAGTAAAAGCCATTGCATCCAACACCTTCTTACAAAAGAGTGTAGCCATCAGTAAAAGGCTTCAGTTTAAATACAAATTACATAGAATTAAGAAAATTAAGATATAAATCTGTTAATTATCCCAAGAGTTCTGGAGTGCAGAGTAAGAGATAATAGATATTTATTTTTAGGAACGCTCCTGTACTTAAATGGAGTTGGGATTTCTGAATACCTCACTCCAAATCTGCCTGACAGGAAATACATACCACAAGAAGATCATTAAATAAAAATATTTCTCGCTGGTGCAATCCAAGCTTCTGAGGTTTATTGGGATCTGGGACTTCAAAGAGCCTACAGTAGCAAACAAGCCTCCGGTGGGGTAGGGAGAGCACCTGGGATAATACAAAAGTCCACGGTTAATAAAACAACATTTAGCCAAGAAGGAGCATCTTTCATACACAGAATCTTTTTTAATATGCTTCAAATATTTTTACCTCTAAGCCCATCAATTTTCCCACCAAAGGACCAACAACAGGAACATAAAGATTTCTATGCATGGCATCCAAACTTCATCGAACTCCTATCAGATACTCTCTATCAGCTTTTATTCCTGTATATGGATGCCAATGGAAGTTCTATGGGAGAGAGCTTCACTTTGTGAAATGATAAAATCTTAATAATCTTAATACCTTGAGTTTGAGTGGCAGCTCAGAGCAAAGGGTTTTACTTCCACATTTTAAATTTTTGCATTTTTACACATCTTTATTGGAAGAAAGGATGCAAAGCAACTGCAGCTTTTGGGAGCTGAACACACTGATGTTGTAGCTACTTTTTGTCAGCCACTGAGTTAATTCAATTTGGTCACTCCCCAGTACCAAGGAAATGGTGACATCAGGACAAAGTAAATGCACTTTCAGTCTGTTTGATTTTCTCATGCCAGTAAGGAAATCAAGACTGATTCTCCATCTCCTTATTGGAAATATTCTGCTGAGGTATCTCCAAAGCTGTTGTTCTCAACCTAGTGAGCCTTTATTTCCTTCCAGTGCACGTGATGAGATCTCACCAGCACTACCAAAAGAAATCCATAAAATGGTGCATTATAAGAACAGTTTTAGGTTCATTACTGAATATGCCTGCTGTAACTTTAATCTGGAATCAATGTTTTCTACCTTCAGAAGCAAACCTTAAAATCAACTGGCAGTATCTTCCCCGAGTATCATTCAATTCTCAAAGGGACCAGAAAGAACAAACACACCAGGGCCCAGGTGCAAAGGTGAGGTGTGACTGTGATTTTAACTTATTGGTTTATTCTTCACTGGCTGTGTAATTTTTACTGTGATAACAGCATTTGAAATGAGTAAAAAGTGTATTAAAAAAGGTCGAGGAAAGTCTTGGTAATAAATTAAGCAGTCTCTGGGAAACATATTTTTAAGAAATCTCTGTACTTTATAGAGTTATTATTACAACACCAGAAAAATTTGGCTTGAAAGAACACCACTGATTTCAAATTTTAAAATGTAACAGAACGCTTTATTGTTAGTTTAAGAAAATGCTGCCAGTTGCAGTGACTGTAAATCTTGAAGGAGTATGAGAGAAATACCTACACAACCAAGTCCATGGTGCAGAGATCCAATCTACAGTAGAAAGACACATACAAGTTGATTAAACTTCAGAGAAACACAGAACTGTATCATAGCAATAAACACGGCACGGTCTGACTATGACTAAACACCTATAAAGTAAAAACAAACATAGCTATCAATAAAGACTCTTGCCTGTCTCCCAAATTTTCTTGCACACAGTTAAAAAGTCTCCCAACAGGAGAATCCTTCAACACAGGACTCCAGCAAGGGCATTGTTTTCTTAATCCCATTTAATTGACAAGGTGGGGATCAGTTTTAGGATTTGAATTGCCTGAATAAAACAGGAACCACGGGAAAAAAACATCTCCCCAAAAAGTCTATATATAAACCCAAATCCCCAAGCAGTTACAGAATGGAAGTTTCATATGAAACCATAATACTGACTTCAGAATATTTATTTCCCTTCTTCTCAAAATCAGTTAAGTTTTTACTAGGGAAATTTTGCTTTCTTTTCTCTGCTTCTTCAGAGATCTCCTCAGTATGTCCTTCACTGGGATACAGACCTAAATGAGGGTATTTTTGGTGGTCCTTCATTCCCTTCCCCCCTCCCCTGTGCTGAGGTTCATCTGAGAAGAGCTTACAATTCAAAGCTCTTTAAAAGCAACAGAGAGACTCTGGAGATCCACCTTCTTTTTCCTAATAACAAATCCCCCAACCCATCAGACCCTGCTGCGGTGAAGTTGCCCAGAGTTGATAAAAAATAAATGTAGGACTTCAAAAACAGGTAGGTCTGGGTTTTTTGTGTTTGGGTTGGTTTTTTTTGTTTTGTTTGGTTTTTTTTGGTTTTTTTTGCTTTGTTCTGGGCTTCCTCTGTGATTGTTGACATGGGATTTGAATTCAGGAGGGCTGAGCATCCACTGGCCCTCTCCACATTAGATACTGGTAGAATAGTGGTAAAATACTGGTTTTAATATCTCTGTGTTCACTCAGCTCCTAAATTGAAGGTAAAATTCTGTGGCCTTCCTTTTCTCTCCCTTTTTCCAACAGATGCTTTGAAGATTTATTTATGCAGTAAAGTATTTCAGGATTTTTCCCACAGCAAAGAAAGAGGAATCTCTGGATGCTCAAACCCAGCATGGGACCTGATTTCCAGATACGTTCTGAGTGAAATGATTCCATCTCCCCTTACCAATCCCAGGTCATGGGAGCTGTGGAGCTGAGAAAGATGCTGGTGTGAATGGAAGTTCTCTGTTACTCTTTTAAATTACAGAGCCATAAATGACAGTGTAAATTTTGAGATATGATTCTCTACAGCATCACATGAACAAAACACTTCAATTCTCTTGCAATAAACAAGAGAACTGCCTAAAATGCAGATATTTCAGACTTGTAAAGCTTCACATAAAGAATTTAAGACTCCTTACGTCATCACCCATGAATACCAGACTGCAACAAGAAAATCCATGTGCATTGTGAACACCCCAGAATTTAAGTCAACCTTAGAGCAAATCATTATTTGGACAGTTTGCCATTTATAAACCAATTTATCTCCTAAGCAACCCCTTCCTGTCCTGTTCTATGCTGTGCCCTGCCCTCCGTGCCCTTGGTTTTAGGATTTGAACTGCCACATGCCTGAAGCAGAAAAGAACCAGGAGAGCCTTTATATAAACCTAAATCCCCAAACAAACTGGACTTCCAGGCACGAGGAACTCACCGGTTTCTTCCCCACGATGAGCTTTTCCACCTTCTGCACCTGGGACACGTGATCCTCGTTGGTTTTCAGCTCCCGCTTGCGGATGCGCTCGTAAATGCCGATGAGCATCTCCCGGGGGATGTCCTCCCCATCGTCCACACCTGCAGAAGCCAACAGTCCTGTTAGCAGCCTGGCTCTCAGGGCTCTCACAGACACTGTTCTCACCAAGCAGAGGGTAAAACCACGAGCACTTGGGTTTTTCCCTGCTCACAGAGATGCCACTGTTGCCTGAGTGCTCATCAGTGTTTTACAGCTCGTCAGCCCACACCTCCTGCGTGCCCTTGTCCTCCCTCACCAAGGCAGGAGAAGTGATGCTGCTCATTATTTTAACACTGACTTTTGTCCAAAAGCACTGGGACATTGATGGAAATTACATAGGTTTGAATTTTTGTTTTAAAACTTGAGGCTCAAGTTAAGCCATTAAAAGGTTACTGTCGTATGTTTTTTTTTCTTTCAAGTTTCCTCTGTTTGGTATCAAAGCTCCAATGAATTAAATAACTCTTTAGTCACTAAAACCTCCATATGACCCCCTCCTAGGAATATGCACCCCTGGGAGGAAGCAGAAGAACTGTTCCATTTTGCCTCTGTCTCAGTATCGCTCAGCGCTGTTCAGAACATCATTTCCTACGCGAGAACCTCATGAACAACCAGTAAAATTAATTTAACCAATATTTCGTGCAAGACTTCAAAAAAGAACTAATTTACTCTGGAAGAACAAATCAAGCAAATAGCCTAGATAATGTTTAGCACTGTGTGCTGATCACTGCACGTCATCCCGAAAAACACAGCCCTCAGTGCTCAATCCTGAATTTTTAACAGCCGTGGAAGGAGTCCAATTTCACTAAGTGACTTAAAGCTGCATTTCCTGGGGACAGGGAGATGCATGTCTAGTTTGTGAACAGGTTTTAAAGCAATAAACTCTTCTCTCCCATTCAGACTATTTTGCCACCCAGTGGAACAGCTGCTCACATAAAAAATGCTGTGATAAAACACAGTTTCTTTGCAGAAAGAAGGAAGCAAAACCGCCTCTTGTTTTGTTCCCCAGCACCAGGCCTCCCACAGACCACCTCTGTGGTGCAGTGATCTGAAGTTACAGGCAAGGTAACCTGTTACAAAAATGCCTGCAAGAATAAAAAATTGCTGGAGATCAGAGAGAAGGTACTGCATAAAATACAACTGTTGTAACTGCAGGACTGTGCCAAGAGATGAATATCAGGTCTTTTGGAATATTTGTGGACTTTATGATAAAATCTCAGCACTAACTTCAACCTTGCTAAGCTAAAACATGTGCTGAGCACAGTCTGTTCGCTGCTGCCTTGTATAAATCTCGGGGAATAAAAGCACCAAACGGGACTTGCATTCTCAAGAGCTGAAATCCCAGAACACCACAAGTATTTTGGTTTTCCTGGTACTGAAATGGAAGTGCCACATGAACACAAACTGCCCTGAACCTGAGATGTGCCCATATATAGATATATATCTTTATATATTAAGCACCTTGGTTCTATTTTTCTGCCATCTGGTCCACTTTCAGCTCTACTCAGCTACTCCTTCCTGTTAGAAGGAGTTGAGCTGATACCTCACAAAAAATTCTTTCACCACAAAGAACCAGGATAGAAAGATCTGAGATACAGATGTGAAAAAATACCTGTATTTTTCTGGCAATCTAATTGCAAGCTTAGGTGGACCCTAACCTGGCACATAATGTCTTGATCAGAAAATACACCACTGAAGAAATCAAAATGAAATTTCTGGGCTATTTACACCTTTCAGGAAGGTCTTGGAGTGGGTTTTTAACTTTTACTCAGCGAGAACTTAAATCTCTGATTAATTTCCAGAAGTTCTCATCAGGGCATAGTGATTTCTGATCCTCAATACTCATATATATACATATAAATATACATTTACATACACACACACACACACACATATATGTATGTGGGAATAAAAAGACCTGACAATACATCCACTCTTAAAAGGACACAATACTACATAATTAATTCTGTTTTCATTATTGCAGAAATAATTAAAGCCTGTAAAAATGGCAGCAGTCTCAAGTCAGGACAAATGAACATTAAGTGCCCTGTATTTTGTCTTTTCCCAGACGATCCTGGTGTTCCTCCAATGACAGTTACAGGGAAAAGCTTTTCAGACCTTCCTTGCCAGAGTTTTCTCACCCCTCAGGTTCTTGACAAAGTCCTCCAGCTTCATTTTTCGCTCTGGTTTCACATTTGGGCTGTACATGTCTGTGTTGAGCAGGATGATGGCGAAGGCCAGGATGAAGATGGTGTCGGGATTCCGGAATTGTCTCACCACCCCGGGTTGCAGATACAGTATCTCTGGCTGGAAAAAAGCACAGAGGGGAATCTGTCAGAGCCAGGAATTGCTTCTCCAATTCCACCAAATAAACCAACTGCTGCATTCCAGAGGCTGAGTGAGCTATAACTGGTGTTCCATAGATATATTTAGCTTTCCAGTCACGTATTTCCATGAGCCAATCCTCGAATGTGGAAGGCTTTTGTTCTCTACTACCACTGTCATTTCACCTCTTAGTACAGATTCTGAGCTACAGTAACTTCAGGATTTCATTTTTCGCAGTGATTAATGCCCTGACACCAGGTAAGAACACAGCATTGATTCTGGCTTACTGCCACAGGGTGATTTCCATCTTATCCTGCCCTGGATAAAGTACACCTGTGTTAAGCACTGACAAATTAATGCTCTGTTTTCCACTGTTGTTGAAGTGCTTAATGAAAAGCTGGGAGCATATGTGCTCTAAAATGTAAATGGGCTCATAATTCCACTCATATCAACTACTATATCCAAATATATTGTTAGAGACACTCAAAAATCCTTGGATATTTTTTCAACTGGTGTCAGTAAGAATTTTTAATTGAGAAACCTTGTTATGTTAATAGAAATGCTACCAGTGAAGAGCCCCAGCAAAGGAAAAGTCCTATTTCATACTTAGCAAGAGCCCCACAAACCACAACAGTCAGTGCCATGGTCTGGTAACCACAGTGGGAGTGGCTCAAGGGTTGGACTCGATGATCTCAGAGGACCTTTCCAGCCCGGCTGATTCTGTGATTTATTTGAAACTGTTGGTAGCTCAAAGAGGACCCTGCAAATAAGCAGGGAAATAACTTGGATCTGCTCAACCTCCCCAGCTGTCCAGCTGGACCGCCAGGCAGCAGCAGTTTCTGGTGGCTGATTGCAGTCTCTCACCTGAAGGCTTCAATGAGCCGTTCCACCTTCTGGGCTTCTCCCTGGACACGGATATGAGCCTGAAATTTCCTGAGTGCCTCATCCAGTTCCATGGCTGAGAAGTCCATCTCATCCACCACACAGCTAGGAGAGAAACAGATCCCATGGTGTCTCTTCATTTCTAACAGCACAGTACCAAGGGTCAGACTTCAAACCAAAACACCTTTTGAGTTTCCACCTGACAGAGACTCATGGAATTGTCCTTTAAACCTTCAGCAGCAGTGGCAGTAACTGCAGGTAACTGTGAAGGAAGGCTGCAAACAGGGGATCAATGAACATGTGTAAGCAGACCCTTATTCTTTTTTTAACAGCAGAGCTGCTGGAATGACAAATGTCTGACCGATTTAAGGGATGTACCTCTGCCAACAATAATTATTAGCTTTGTGCTTCCAGGCCAATCAACCATCACAATGCCTACAACAATAATAAATAGTTTATATCATATCACAAACAGCCTGCAGCAGGCACAGTAATCTGCACCAAATGGCTCTGTGTCTGGGAACATTCTTACATACAGAGAAAAAAAATAACCCTGTTTGGATACTCTCTTATTATTACTGTAATTCTCATCTCCCCATCATTTGCCATGTCTTTCAGTTAACACTTATGGAGAAATAATTACTTTCTTGCTCAGAAAATACAGTGTTGACCAAAAATAAGAAAAAAGGAACCATTTTAATATAATCAACAATGTCAATTATGTCATTCTAATACTTTGTTTAAAATCTGCTTTAAAATCAGAAGCTTATAAATTTCCTTTCTTTAAACTTATCTTTTAGTTTTTACATAACCAGACATGAACTACTGTAATGCAGAAACCACAGAAAGCACAATCCACTTTTAAAAGCTTTTTCTTAAATGTACAGGTTTACAATAACAAATGAGAGTAGATCATACTTTTCTTCCAGTAAAACTGCAGCTAACATAAATTAATAACCAAACAATTTATTCCCCTTGCCTGGAATATTTTCCCTGTTATGCAGAAGCACTTTAGTCCTTCCAATCCACACCTAAACCCCCTTATCAGTTCTGCAGTAATGTCCTCAGTCTTCCCACCTTTTCCAAGTTCTGGAACACCAAAACTCTTTACACCTTTGAAGGTGTAAACACATGTGCAGCCCAGCTGGAGTCAAAATGAACTATAATTAATGCAATTAAGGACCTCCAGAAACATGCTGGCCAACAACAGAACGGGAGGGGTCTCAAAAGGTTTGATATGAACTATGGAGACAGCAGATAAATCACCATGGCCACTGTTCTTCACCACCACCAGGCAGCAGCTACAGCAGGCCCCGAATTCAGCTCTTGGTCAAAAATCTAGCCTGTTCTCATGGATATTTTCTAAGCTCAAGATATCAAACAGCTAAAACACCTGAATTTACAGGTCTGGGAAACTTGAACACAAACCAAAGCAAGTAATCTGAAAATAAATTGTGTAACAGCAAAAGGATCGTGTTTTAAACTCTCTTTTCTATGTACCCACCTGGAGCTATATCCGTTTGACAAAATCTACCTCCAATCTGTAAATATGATTTTTAGGATGAAATGCTATTTCATTGTCACTTTTTAAGAGAAAATACCCTCCTCCCATTTGCAGGCAAGCTTCAGGGCACTATCCAGAGAACCCCAAAGCCTGGCTGAAACAGCTCAGTTAAGAACACATTCATTTCGATAAATGATTGCTGGGGGGACGTAGGCAGGTGAGTCTGACCTTGTTCTTAACAATTCACTTCCTCCCAGATAAAGACACACCTCTGCTTAGGTCTGTCTCAGGTGCTGAGGGCAAGTGATTGGTTCAGCATCACAAAATGCTCCATGGAATCAGAGTGGTTTGGCGTGGAAGGGACCTTAAAGGTCAGCTAAGATTAGAATCCACCTCGCCCTGAAGCTGTTTTTCCCTTTAAAAAAAAAAAAAAAATTAAAAATACACACTTGCTGGAGAGTCTTCCCCCTAGTCTGACTCATAATTGCAAAATGCAGATGATCCCTGTGAGTGGCCAACGGTGACTCATGCTGAATGAACAGGGACTGCATCCAGGCAAGCCACATTCCATGACTCTGCAGTGTCAGCCTGGCTCCAGGCTGTGCTTTGGAGGTGCTTCCCTTGCTTTCTGCTGGGGGTTGGACTGTAAGAAGGCAGCTTTTAATAAAGCACAGGAAAGAGAGAAAAGACCTCTAGAAAAAGTCTCTGCATCTGTAGCCCAAGGCAGATTTCACTACAGCTTTCATTATATTGTTAAATAAAACAGCTATTTAAAAAAATGGTGGTGAGAAGTTTCTCTAGCCTTCCTTAATGGGGCAAATATTGTGGTTTTTGCTTTAATTCTCAGCAGTTTTGTTAGGCATCTAGCTAAAATGTTATACAATATCCTGGAAAAAAATGAACTAAGATGTATTCATGTTTACAGGTCAGTATGTCAGACACAAAAAAAAAGCCCCAAAGAAAACATGTTTTAAATTAACACCCTCTTAAAATAAAGCAACTTTGGTCTACTCTCTATATAAGGTTTAGATATTTATGACCAAGCTGCTAAAAGTCTGATTTTCTGCTTTTGCATTTCTTTTGGTTTTTAAGACCAGTTTTTGTTTATCTAATCTTTTGGAAAATAACAGTTTGTATAGATCTTGTCAGCACGTGCCTGCCCAGGCACAAATCCCCCCTTATCTCACATCTGAGCCATTTGGCTCTAATAATGATTTTCAAGTTCTGTTACTGATTAAGCCTTATGTGGCCTACAATATTGTTGTGTTTCATTCAGTAAATTATCTGGGGAAGGAAAAAAAACCCACACCCTTTGAAATAACACACTCTAAGGCCTATGAAATTAAAAACATAAATTTAGAGTAAAATGCACGTGGCTGCAGAGAACATAAATCCCTGTAAGTATCTTGCTGGATCAATAACAGAACCAGCAGCTTACCTGGGAAGCAAAGAAATGATGCAAAGATGCTCGTGTGCACCTTTTCTTACCCTCTGGAGCGTGGCTTCCCCTCCTCCCAGAGGGAAGCACAGGACACCCAGAGACTGGTGAAGCACCGAGGTGACTGCTGAGCAGGAGAACACCCCCTCCTCCCCCCCAGGACACTCACTCCAGCACATCCCGGTTGAACTGCTTCTGCCGATTGCCCAGGAACTCGCCGATCATCTGCCTGCTCAGCCCCTTCCTCTGCAGCAGAAAGTGCGCGACGCCCACGGGGGTGTCCGGCACGAATCCTCGCTCGATGAGGTACTGGACTCCTTTCTCAGGTTTTCTGAGGAGAAAAGGGAATGCAAAACTATTAATTTTCTTCCATTTCTGCCATTCTGGCAATCGCTTTCAACCAACGCAACACCATTGCTGGGACGGTTTGGGGATGGATGAACGCAGCCATCCCGCTGAACACACTGCTCACTGCTCATAGCTGAAAGCATCAGTAGCTTTGAAACATCTCTGCATGTTATTACACATGTCCCTGCTCCATAACCCTTGCAAAGAGAAGCTTTGTGCTCAGGCAGCTTCACTTGCCAAAGACGAGCCCAACACCAGCCACTCAAGGCTCCTGCTGCTGGGAGAGAGGGACCTTCCACAAACTGAGCTGAAAAGCTGCTGCTGAAAAACAAGGAACAAAGAACAGCCCTGACCTCCCCCCCCACTGCTGTCAAAAGTTAAACTTACTGAACAAAACAAGTGGTGTAGCTTGCAAGCTGAGAGGACAAAAAATGAAAGGGAAAACTAAAGGCAGTCGAGCAAAAAGAAGCAATTAAAAATGGTGCAGCTCCCATGTAATTTAGATTTTTTTCTTCCTCGTCCTTTAACACACCCATTGCCCCAGATCTCCCTCCCTCAGACAAGCACCTTCTTAGTTGCTGCAGTATTTTACATCTCTTTATACATCTCCAGATTTAGCTGTAACCATTTTCCCACCTCAAAACAAAGCCAGTTGAAGCTACTCATTGTAACTTGTTAAGAAGTGTTTCTGGGGAGGAGGGGTGGGATGGAGCTGCTTTCTGGCAATAAAACATACAGGTTATAAAGGCAAATGCTGCTCAGATTTTAAAGTGGTGCAAAATTGCCCTCCCAGCACAGACTGCGCTGTCACCCAGCAGTGCCACACAACAACCACCCATCACTCATTTTAGAGATACTAGAGAGGAATCTTTAAAGAATCAGTAATTCCATCAGCAGCCTTATTTTCTAAAGAATTATAATATAATGTCCACCTGTCTGACCCGAAAGATGCTTCCTCTAAGGCAAGTAAAATCAATTTCTCAGGACAAGGTGACCGTACTATTTTTAGACAAGGTTGATCACACGACCATAACCCTTCCCCAGGGCTTTTAATTGCAAACAGCATTACTAAATACATCAGCAGACAGTTCTCCTACTCTTTTACACTGCATTATTATACACTTAAGACCCTACTAAGAATTAGACAGATGAGAGAAATATATATAACTTAATCAAAAGGGACCTCTCAAATCTCAGTTTCTTGCCTCAGCTTTGTGCCTCTTTTCATCTGAAATAAGATTACACACACAGTCATCTTCTGAAATTAATCTCCTCCGTACTAAAGAAGTACCTTTTTTTTGGTAAGCAATGCAATTGCTACGCTCATATGCTTTTGAGTTGTATTTCAGAATTGTTAAGCTTAATTTAAATTCCCAGCATCCAACAAAACCAGGAGTTTTCTCCATGCCCCTTGTTAGTGAGCTGCATTTGTCCATAACGTCCAAAGTGATATGAACCCAGGAGAGTTCCTCTCCAACAAACTGTCAAAACACCACAAAGAGCACTCAAGAAACACACCTTGATCCAAAGATCACCTTCACGTGACATATAAACAATGCTGGATCATTACTTACTGTACTAAAAACCAACTTGGATTCCTCCCAACCTGCATAAGCCTGAACGTTTAAAATCACAAAGGTGACACATCATTTGGGTTTTTTTTATTTAGTTTTATTGCTGCTGTAAGCTCCTTCCCACCCCACCCCAGGTGTGACATTATCTTATTCAGGAGGGAAAGTATTTAACAGAACACGATGACTCTGCCAGAGGGCTCTGAATTGCTGTGCAAAAAAACCCCTCAGGTAGCAACAAGGGTTTGGGGAGGGCAGGTTTAAAAAGACACCACAAGCAAACAGGGATTCTCCTGCTGGCAAACCCAGCTGTTCAACACTGGACAAACTTTCTTTTTTCACCAGGCCCTCATTTTTTCCTGAAGTGTATGACTGGATGAAGGGAGTGGGACATGAAAGGGTCATGGATTTAACGTGGGATAGGACACCTGGCATAAGTTTACCCTCATTTCTGTCTGCTCAGAATTGAGCACAGACCGTTTTGTACTTACAACTGAGTCTTTTGTGATTAGGAAAATTCCCAGTGATGCTTCTTAATTACACCTCCCAATAACAGGGAAGATGAGAAGTCTATAAATAGCAATCGAGGAAGCAGCATAAGCAGAGCAGTTATTTCCAGATTTGAATACATTAACTAATATCAAAAGCAACCCTCTAAAGCCACCACCTTCCACAGCTGAGGAGATATTTAGATATATTTAGAAAATTTTTGATATTTACATGATTGCTTCCAAAATAAAGTTTGAAACTGTCTGCTGTCTCAAAAAACCAAAAAAAACCAAAAAACAAAAAACAAAAAAACCCCAACAAACCACCAAAAAACCCACAACAAAACAACCAACATTGAAAGGAATCTATTAAGGAAGAAAAAAAAAATCAACTAACACAAAAAGATGTGCAAAACCACATTTACACGGAATTCTCAGGTGCTGCTTGAAGGGTTAAGGACCTTGCCAGAAACTGAGTAACAACAAGACCTTTAGGGTGGTTTAAAGTGACTTTGAGGGGAAAAACACTGATGGAGGAAATGATGCAAACTTCAAAACAACAGATCAAACGAGTATATTTTAATAAGCTTGCTTCTCAGAGAGTAGTGGTCTCCTCCAGTGAAAACCTGGTCTTTGTGTGTTTCTGGAAGCAGGCTGTGTCCTGGATTCTGCAGCAATTCTTGGACACCAGCATCTTCAAGAGAAAGCATGTTCAAGGATTGAAGAGAACAAAAGCACACACCAAAACCAGTTAAAAAACAAAGAGCAAACACCCCGAACCTCCCTAAAAAAACACTCCCTCAAAAGCCAAGACAACTGTAAACTCCTGCATATCCCTGCTGTTTCCTCTAGTCAGTATTATGCCTTTCCCTGCCAGCTGTAAAACCAGAAGGGAATTTCTTTATTTAGATGGGAATTATTTATTTACTCAGTCAGTTCTACCTGCAGTACTGAAAGTGTAAATTCAGTGGAAGTTCATGTAATTTGCTGCCATCTGCGTAGATCTCACTGCAGGGGGGGTTTGTTGGGGGTTTGCAGCTTGGAAGCTGAGATGGAGTTGTTTTTTGTTTCCTTTCAACATCTGTGCGGGTTGAATCCCAAAAAGTGACAAAGAGCTCTGTATATGTAGGAGTTTTGTTAATCTAAGTGATGTATGAGGCTCTCCTAAGAATGAGCTCTCCTTTGGGGTATGGGGTAGAAGGGAAAAGAACAACAATAAACAAGGTAATATCAAAGTTGGTACATTCCTGATAGAAGTGTTCCTTATCCAAGTGAGGAATATATAAAGGAGACAAAAATAAAGGATGTTTTTCCTTAGACAGATGACCCTCCTCGTGTACAAGCAGTACGTTAGAAAAACACTGCATTTCTAATCTTCCACTGCCATGAGCAAATCAGTAAGGAGAGCAGTGATCCAGACATCTCAGTGCCATTACTTGTCTCAATTAACTTCCACCTGGTCAGAGGAAACACTGACAGAAAAGTTTTAAGATACATGATTATTACAAACACTTACACCATGTGGGACTATCCCTACCTGCAAAGACAATCCCCATTTAGCTGCTGCAGAAAATTTGGATTGCCAGCAATAAAAAACCAGACTAAAACTCCATGAGTTACTCAACATGCACTGCCAAAATAACATCATTCCAGTCCCTGGTTTGACACCTGCTTTGCTTGAATTCTGTTTTCAGAAGTGCTCAAGAACCTGCCTGAGTTTGAGAAAGCAGAAAGTCGGTCAGAAACCCCTCCTGCTTTAAAGAGGGGAAGGATAATCTGCTGACTGACTGCCCAAAGCTTTCAGGAACTGTGCTCACACAGCCCAAGAGGCAGTGCAGGGTCAGGGGCAAACACACTGATTGCTCTGGGGCCACAAAAAGAAACACAGTTTAGAAACACAGCACCTTATGCTGCTGTTGGACATGAAGCACCACCAGTCTGCAAAGGAAATAAGGCTTTGCATCACCTAGATACTCAAAAGGTTTTCTTTAAAATGACAGGGAATACCACAGTGCAGTTATTTTGAAAAGTGCATTTGGTAGAGGAAAAGCTTTTAGTTGGATTCTGGATGGTAAGAGAGATCAGCACAGGCTTAGCATGTACTGTTACCTACAGGACTTGGAGCCAGTCTTACTGCCAGACCAACACTAACCCTGAGTGCTGCAGCTGGGGGAGCACTTCAGGGGCAGTGCCAGCACTGACATCAGCCCCTTCCCGCATTCCTATGGCTGGTTTGGGACTTCCTCACAAGCTGTTCTAGGAGAAAAAAGGGGTTTTGTTGGTTTGTGTTGGGATTTTTTTTTTTTTGTTTGGGGGGGGGGGTGTTTGGTTTGGTGGTTTGATTCGGTTTTGGTTTGGTTTTTGATATTATTTTTAATCCAGCCAAGCTCCCCCACAGCTGCACCATCAGTTGTACCATCCAAGCCACAGTGTGGATAAAGTGCCCATGTCCACAGCACCAAGAGAAGACAATAAATAACAAGCACTACCTCAAAAAGAAACCTTCCACAAACCACAGTCCAAAGGTGGATAAAACCTTCTCTATACCCCACTTGTTAAATGTGTAAAGCTTACAAACACCCAAACCACAGGACATCTTTGTATTTCCTTTTAGAGCTCAGACAATAATAGAGCTGTGAAATGGAAGCATCCATGAACAAACAAGCACAGAAAGCAGCTGGCCCAGGTCTAGATTTCCAATACCCAGCAATGCCAAAAGTATCATTTCAAGTAAACTAGGAATTTATTAACAGTGTAAATAACCAAAAACACACTGTTCTCCCAGCTGCCTGAGACAGGGGGGATAAAGCCAGCCTGGCTGAAAATGAGAAGCTTGGTGAAACTTCTGGAAATTCAGTATTTCAGTAGGCACATGTCTGCTTTTTGGTTCCTTGCCTATGTTCAGACACACACACACAAGACAC